TTCGATAGCTATTATTTTATACTCAAAATATTTATATATTGCTGGCAAGCTGGCTCTTCATCTAGCCCTGGCAACCTCCCGACACCTTTCCCGGGGCCTGTCAAGTGTTTATACACAGAGGGCAGGGCCAGGTGAGGCTTTTGCCCAGCAGAGCTTCTGATGGGCCACTGGAGATGTGATTGGCTGTGCAGATGGCCAATCAGCTCCTCTGGAGGGAAACCGTTGTTTCAGCAGCAGCTGCCACACAAGGATCTTCGCTGCGTGATGGAAGGTAAGCTGTGTGTATGCACGGAAATATTATTTAGCAGCAGGGCTATTTTTGGGCAGGAACGCACAGGAACGGAGTTCCGGCTGGCTCCCGAGTTGGCCACGCCCAGCAGGAACTCATTAGCATAATAGCCACACCCAACAGCAGGAACTCATTAGGATTGGCTACATTAGGGGTGTGTGGCCTAACATGCAAAGGAGTTCCTGCTACAAAAAAAGGCCCTGGGTTTTGACAACAAACAAGGTAAACAGAATAAGAAGGGAAAGGTGGGTGTGGCTGGATGGTAACATGGGGGTGTGGCCTAATGTGCTAATGAGCGGTGCTGTCAGGGTGTGGCCTAATATGCTAATGCATTTTGTTGTTGGGTGTGGCCTATTATGCTAATGAGTTCATGCTGGGCTTTTTCTACAAAAAGAGCCCTTTTACGTTCCTCTGTTAAACAGAGATTCTGTCTGGACAGATATTGTTAGCGTGATGCATGACATCACTCCCTGACGTTCTGTGGCTGGATCTGCCTCTCCCAGCAGCCATTTTCAAGGTTGCACCCACCACCCGCTGTCAGAATGCCCGTGGTGCCCACAGTCTTGAAAAGGCTGATCTATTTACAAAATCCACCTCCTGACACAAATCCCAGAGGTGAATGGTTCCACATGAGACAAGCTTGGCTCCCACCCCACATAGCTTGGTGGTGGAAACCGAATTGCAATGGGGTTGGAATACTATTAACGGTTACTGAACAACCAACCCAAAAGGGTAGTTCTTAGCGGGGGGGGGGGGGAATGCAAGAATGCAACTGGTAGAAAATGAAGGTTGAACATCTCTTACTCCCATTGAGGACTGCAACATTTAATTGATTAATTCATTAATCAATTAAATGTTTTAATCAGTTAAGGGAGCAGCTAGGTGACAGATTTGTTTTTTTTTAGTGTTAATCATTTTTACAGTGTAATTCTAAGCAAAGTTACACCAATCAGGGTCCATTATTGCAGAGTGACTCCAGGCAAAGTCTACTGAACCTAAGAAGAGCCCTGCTGGATCAGACCAGTGGTCCATCAAGTCCAGCATCCTGTCTCACTCAGTGGCCAACCAGTTACTCTGGTGGTCCATCAACAGGGCATAGAAGCTGAGGCCTTCCCCTGATAACAGCCCTGCTGGATCAGACCAGCGGTCCATCTAGTCCAGCATCCTGTCTCACACATGATTAAGGGTTATAATATTATGCATGGGATAGAGTGGGTAGAGAAAGCGGTACTTTTCTCCCTTTCTCACAATACAAGAACTCGTGGGCACTCCATTAAATTGCTGAGCGGTCGGGTTAGAACAGATAAAAGGAAGTCCTTCTTCACCCAAAGAGTGATTCACACTTGGAATTCACTGCCACAGGAAGTGGTGGCGGCTACAAGCCTGGATGGCTTCAAGAGGGAATTAGATAGGCATATGGAGCAGAGGTCCATCAGTGGTTATTAGCCACAAGGTATAGATAGGGACTCTGGGGCAAGTGATGCTCTGTCTTCTTGGTGCTTGGGGAGGGGGCAACAGTGGGAGGGCTTCTAGTGTCCTGGCCTTGCTGGTGGACCTCCTGATGGCACCTGGTATTTTTGGCCACTGTGTGACAGACTGTTGGACTGGATGGGCTGTTGGCCTGATCCAACATTGGCTTCTCTTATGTTCTTAGTGGCCAACCAGTTCCTCTGGAGGGCCAACCACAGGACACAGAGGCCAAGGCCTTCCCCTGATGTGACCTCCTGGCTCTGGGATTCGAAAGTTTACTACCATGGCTAGTAGCCACTGATAGACCTATCTATCCTCTGTGAATCTGTCTAATACTGGAATCCATAGGCTTTGAGTGGAGTAACAGGTCAAAAGATTTTAGAGACGCAGCCACATGGAACTGCTCGGTTCACTTTGGATATTTGGACGGTAAATAGACTTTTGGTTCTGGATGTGTTCTACCTCACAGTAAATGGGTATCAGGGAGAATGAATG